GGAAATTTCTGACAAAATTGGGGGTTTTGGGAATTTTGAGCATTTTTTCAAAATTCTTTGAATTAGACGTTGATTTATATACTGTATAGCAATACTTGGACTGCTCTACGTACATGTATTATAAAATAACAATTACACATGACTTGAATGAATGACATATCTTAACATTTTTTTAATGCCACACAATTTCTTTTCAGAATGCAGTTTGGATACTTGATATTTCCGTGTGAATAAAAGGATTTTAGATTAATCATATATATTTAGATATAAATGTGAGTAACTTGGATGAATGATTTATGTAAATATTCCTTTGAACATATCTGGAGAGAGTTTTAACAAAATGTGTATCTGTCTGTTCATTAACACACAATACTTATATATAGACAGAAATGTTCCCTAACGCAATTTGCTGATTTGCTTTTTGCTTGTAGTGATGATTACACAAAATGTGCCATCTGTTTTATGATTCTTGGCATTTAGGTGTTTTCAAGATGTGACATGCAAATACATGTAGCTTTAATGAAAAGTTGATACTTCTATTTGTATATGCAGACTGAATACTTGAGTCATCTTTAAGTAGTCACTTTCTTTATCAGACACTTATACATGTACATAATAAATTGTTTGTACTAGTAAATGCTTCGTTTTTCTTCATTTAAACACTTTTTTTCTAGAAATTCGTATATAGTCAATAAATTTCTACATATTTTGATACCAAATAATTATGTAACTATTTTGCTTAGATACGAAATTTCCCTTTAACCAAATGTACACTTTATTTTGCAACTCAGTATATAGCAATCACGTATTTCAAGCACATGTATATATTTACGATGAGACGCTCAGGAATATCTTAATGCCTTAATACATTCCAACTTGATGCCAAGTTTAAAGTGAATATCTTTGTTAGTTTTTGAGAAAATGGACCTTAACTACCAAAGATGGGTGGTGACATTTTAACATCTTGAATTCTCGGGGTTCATCTTCACGGTATCACAATTTCAACTTCATGAATTGACGATTTCAAATTACTGAATTCACGATTTCAAATTCACGAATTCAACCTAGTGAAATCATGAATTCATGAAGTTGAAATCGTAAATTTCGTATGTTCAGTTAAAAGTTGTGAATTCACAAAGATGAAAACGGGAATTCATGAAGTTGAAATATGCACACCGGTCTCCCGTATAAGCCTGTTATAGTGACTGGTCTTTCGACTAAGACTGGGTTTTGCAGGTGCATAAAATGAGTAAATCATGGTTGCTGATTTCTGCCATTTCGTGTCTTCGCCGGCGAAGACCTGATAATATGCGAACTTATCGTGTCTTCTGAGGGCGCCGATACGAAGACATTACCTCTCAAAATGCGAAAGGCTTCGCCAATTTATCGAGTTTTCGTGTCGTCGGCGCTTCTTCATTCATGATATTTTTTGAAAAATGTATTTAAAAATAAAATATTGTGTAGTGAACAAAGAAAGAAATTTACGTATTGTACTACAAAATTACTAAAATTAACGCCGGTATGTGTTTATGTTAGTTCTGTGAAGAGATATTAACATGCAACTTCTTGGCTTTAATTATATGTTCTTCTAAGTCGTGTATAAATTTCAGATGTATATTTCTGATCTTTTGAAACGTATTTTCAATTTATCGCACATCCGGGCCGTGTCGCTTTTGCAACTCCGTAAAAATGGTATTTTATGTATCTACGCCAATACAAAAGGGGTACACCTCAGTGAACACTGTTTTATTGATCGCGTAATTTTATGTTTATACAGGTAGTTGACCTAGCTATTTGTTAAAAATGTAAACATTTTGCAAAACCGGATATCACATTTAAATATAAGAATGTATTAAAATGTGAAAGGATTACCCTGGCCCCATGTGAGTGTTATATAGTCATGTCAAAGTATAACGACTCGACATATTATAGCGGTACTAATGTTGATATTGGATTAGCCAATTACAACACCCGGAATGAAGACCAACAATCACAACAACACAAAGGTAAATGATATACAGTTGAGTTTATATTATTTCTCATTTTCATCACGAAATACGTATGTACTCTCTTTTTAAACTTTTTTACTAGATCTAATGCATATCGAGTTCAGTAGATACTTAATTCCGGAAGAAACTAATATCACTTTTATTATCATAGTCTCGATCCGTTCTATTGCAGTGGCGTATCGTCTTGGAGGCCGTTGCCTCCAAAAATTAATAATAAAAGTTATTTATTTTTCGAACTGTAATTTCTCTCAATCCAGCGAACAAAACAGTGGTACTAAATATACACCAACATATCTTTTGGGTATGCCCAAGACCCCTACAACTTGGCAAGTATGAGACTTGATGGTATACGGTATTTTTTTTCATATACACTTAACAAATCTTATAAGTGTGCATGTATAAATGCCATGGTTTCATAGATGTATCAATATTTGCCCGATCATGCTGAAATTTTCATCAAATACAGAAACAGGGCTGGGAATCAAAACTGCGTCGTATCCTACAAAATGTAAACAAACGCCGCCATCTTGGAACAAAAAACGTATGTTTTTGTTTATAACTTTTATTGTTGGAAATGACTGAAAACAAGATATATGTATTAACACGCTACACTATTTTCCGCTTCGTTCGGTATATGTTGCTTGCACAACTGTTTTGTAAAACAAAAGTTATAGCGAACTTGCAACTCGAAGCGGGGCATAATTTTTATGAAAATGTGTGGATACGACGCAGTTCATATTGCTTTATCTATCGTTTTTTCCTTCAAATCAATTATATATTTGTTTCAGAGTTCACCATAAACTTCGAAATGTAATTTTGCATCATTTACTAAAATTTCATTAAAAAGAGATGTTTATTTTCCAAGAAAATAATGATTTTTACGAAATGATACGACGCAGTTGAAAATAAAATATGATACGACGCAGTTGTATTTTTGGCAGTCTTTTCAACAGGGATAATTTTGGCAATATATTTCTATTTTATGGAATAATCACTTGCGCTAGATAAAAAAAACCCAGATTATTTGCGGTGTATAGCAATGTTCTGTTGCTTTTGATTATTTAGAATACAATGTGTCATGTCCATTATACCATTTAATTTGAAAGTTTACATTGCGGAAGCTACTTTTCAGTTAAACATGAACATGTTACCTTGTTGATCATAATATCTGAAATAATTTCTTATATTTTCCTGTATGTTCAATATTATCCCTAATTTGTTTTCGCAAAAAAAAATGTAGAAATCTATTTACTTGAATTCATTTTGGCTAGCTACGCTCTAAGTTAACTGTGGCTCTGCATGTTCTGGGTAATGGTTTCTTTTCAAACTTTCACTCTACACATTAGCTTTACTAGGGGCGAGGACCTCAGGTGCGCCTTTGTGCATTATTTCAGGCAAAATGTTGTACCTGCAGAGAACCATCGACATTTTGAAACTAGCTTGATAGGTTTTCCACACGAAAGAATAAAAAGTCCCTGGTGGTTTTCGAATTCATAGCAGTTCAGTTCAAGTGATTTGAATTCAGTAAACATAAACAGCTCGGCCTCGGTTGGACACACCTGTCTGATTTGTTTTTTCAACAAAATTTGTTGACGTCAGCTGTACAAATAAGCAGCTTTTTTATTAACTTCTGGCGTGAAGTTTTAAGATTATAAATATTTGAGTTAATTATAAAGAGAATAAAATTTAAATTTCTTATTTTGGTATGACTATCAGAGAAATTTTCAATGTAAACAGGGGTAATCCTCTGTGAAGTCATTTTCTGAAAACTTTTGTTTAAGTTTTCAGGCAATTCATTACCAAATAAAAATCACACTTTAGTATGAAGGTATGTTAAGATGTCATGTCTCTAGTCTGTTGAAAATTCGATACGATAATCTGACCTAAATTTTCTGTTCAATATTGTGAAAACTTAATAATTCTTCAATACTGTTGAAAGATCATGTCTGCCTATATCTGTATCAAATTTATCGGTCCATAGCGTAAAAAACCTTTGCAAAACGGACACCATTTTTACAAAATAATTTGTAGTTGTATTATATGTAACTCGATTTTGAAAATTTAAAGTTTTTTGACGGAGAAGAATGATACTTATAAGTCATACATTCCGTAGACCTTTCCTCATCGGCGATAAAGAAACGCAATACGACAAAATCAGGGGTAAAGTTCCGCGGCGCTGAACATAAAATGACTAAACGGAACGCATAACCTACTTGCAAAAATATATTGTAGCTTAACCATTTATAATATAATTTTAACAATTTAATGTTCAGTTTCAAATAATGAAGCTCATCTGTTCTCATCGATTATTAAGAAAATGAATACAATAAAATCGGCACGTAAAAGACATAAGTAATAACGGAATTGACGGAAATTATTGCTAATTACAAGTAACAAAGGTAGGCATGCAATTTGCGCATTCCCGATAGCTAGAGACCTTTTCAAAATTTGTAAATTCTTTCTCTTTTGTTTTTTGTCATTCCTGATTAATACAGGGTCCAGGAGAGGCTACACTGGAATATTGAATTTTGTATCAAAAATAGTAATCACTCCCATTTCGAATTCACGGGAACAGGTTTGTAAGCATGCTAAGGCAACACTAGAACACGTTGTCACATGGGTGTGCGATCACGTGTTTCAATGTATATTGCATTTGATACAGCTTTTCGGAATTTGTAGATGCTAATGATTAGTACTAAAATGCGATCGAAAAATGCAGCCTTAATAGAATAGTATTACATTTCCATTTTTATGAAACCAATGCTCGAGTGACCTTTGCTTTTGACTTAAGTTGTAAACAAGAAATGTTGTTGGACGTTATTAGCATACCTAGCACATAATTTAAATAGTTTAACCAATATTCAGCCTGCAATGAAAATACAACTGCGTCGTATCATATTTTATTTTCAACTGCGTCGTATCATTTCGTAAAAATCATTATTTTCTTGGAAAATAAACATCTCTTTTAAATGAAAGTTTAGTAAATGATGCAAAATTATGTTTTGAAGTTTATGGTGAACTCTGAAAACGAGTATATAATTGATTTGAAGGAAAAAACGATAGATAAAGCAATATGAACTGCGTCGTATCCACACATTTTCATAAAAATTATGCCCCGCTTCGAGTTGCAAGTTCGCTATAACTTTTGTTTTACAAAATAGTTGTGCAAGCAACATATACCGAACGAAGCGGAAAACAGTGTAGCTTGTTAATACATATATCTTGTTTTCAGTCATTTCCAACAAAAACAGTTATAAACAAAAACATACATTTTTCGCTCCAAGATGGCGGCGTTTGTTTTACATTTTGTAGGATACGACGCAGTTTTGATTCCCAGCCCTGAGAAAAGAGACACAGTATCATTTTTATTCATTTTTTTTCATTCAAGATACAAATTTAAGATGTATTTCTAAAATATGTGAATGCGTGTCGAAAGTCGATGTTGCAAAATGATGTCCTGATACCTTACGTGCCCACCCTGACTGTGTATTACAGCCTGGCAGTGTCGTCACATCGATGTTGCATACTGTTGTATCGGTGAGGAAGGTTACCAACGATGCCAGTTGCTCTGTACTCAATGATTAGCCTTTTTGAAAGTATTTCGGTGTACACCCATAAGAGGCGCAACCTACAAATGATACAGACATGTAATAAGTAAATAAAAGATATGCATTTATGTTCGTCTTGGGTAGAAACTGAATTTAAATGATATTCGGCTTTTACAATGCAAAGGAATTAAAATAATCATTTAAACAAATAAATTTTGTTACCAACCTCTACATGTTTGGTGTACTCCAGCGTTGACCAATCTTAGGGCTATACCATGATGTTGTATAGATAATCTACCCATGTGGTGTTTTTCTGATATGTGGATCTCTGTCGTATCCGAGAATATCCATGTGCAATTTTATTTCACCCATTCTCACAATTTTTCGTGCATTTTGTGAATTTCGTTCGTTCATGGTTGAACGCACCTCATAATTAAAATTGACATGCCTGAACACGGGAAAAGTGTGGAAATGCAGCCAATAGTCATAACGCAAAATTTTGTAGAAATATACTGATAAACGAAAAAGTTATAAGGACATAAATGGTGCACACTTATAAGATTTGTTAAGTGTATGTAAAAATTGTTTGAAAACCATTTTTATCGTTGTAATAGATGTCCCATTCGTGTTTGAATATTAAAATAGTTTTGATAGAGTGTTTACAGGGGCATATAACGTTGGGGGGGATCTGACCCCCAAGCGTATGTCGCCTACACGTACATTGAATGTGAATAAGCATTGTCAGTCATGTTTGTTTTCATAAAGTTGTTTCAAAGTGACAGTTGGCCAAAATTCACATAACAACAAAGCTCACAATGTAAAATGATGAGCAATTTGCAATACACTTCCAGGTCCATGCTTTAAACAAAAATAAAAATGATAACAATAAGAATATTTACCTTGAAATGAATGTGCTAAATTTCAGAAGACAAAGTGAAATCTTTTGCAAACTTTTATGCACAAAAGTAACAAGAGGAATGATATTTTTTGCAACAAACACAAAAAAAAACTTATATATATTTATTTTAAAAGTGAAAGATCACAATAATTGTTCTTAGATCTTCCTTCTTTATTATTTCAGGGGCAGTTGACATTACGAAAATTTTAGAGAAACTAAAATATTACTCCGTTATAGCAATGGTGTTAGGGTTTCTTACGATTGTGTCAGGTGCCACAACTCTTGGAGTGGCTTCCAAAAATATTGGATTTCCTGTCTTCAACTTTGGACCTCTTCTTGTCGGAATTATTGTAAGTTGTTCAACTTTAACACTTGTGACGTTGTATTTGGTTCTTATCTGCTGTTATCAATGTGAAAATTCATACTTGTTGGTAAATCAAACTCCTCGCAGCGGTTACTTCCCCTGATCAGTACAGTAACCACTGCCACCACAAGTAAATTCGGTCGAATATAGCCGGATATATTTTTTCACTTTTAATTTTAAAATAGAATACTTTATATCATTTTAGTTTTCTTTCGTTAAATAGTTATGCTTAATGTACAAGAAAGTAAAAAATTATACGTATAAAAATTATTTTGTAAACATAACGAAAGATATTTTCACTGTGACACCGTGTGCATAGTAACAACCAGTAAACAATGGCAGAATATAAACAGTTATTGAACGATTGCACAAAAAGATTTGATCCGGCACTTGTTTTAAAGTGATAACAAATTGAGTGTCTTGAACTTATTTTGTCTGGTAAGGATGTAATTATAAATCTGCCAGTTTGATATGGGATCCTTGGCGTTCTGAAACTGGCAGCCATGTTTTTGTCACATGATACAACTATCATCACGTGATTTCAGTGGTGGCAGTGGTTAAAGTAGCAAAGCGTGACGTAACCGCTGTGAGGAGTTTGGTTGGTAAATGTGCAATTAAAACATGTTCTTAACCTGAGATAAGCTTTCGTACTAGGGCAAAAAACAGGGAAAGAAAAATCAGACAATAGAGTCATATTATAAATGTAAAAGTGTTTTTAAAGTTTTTCATACTTGATATGGCAGATAAAACGACTAATGCAGTCAGTGTTGCATTACATGAGTGCTTGTTATTGTAAGAAAGTCTCCGTGAGAGATATTAATTTATATCTTTTGTTAAAATTATATCAAAATATTGCGTATAGTTATCATTGTTGTTAATAAAACAAACTGTACAATCTTTTTTAGTTTTTTATTTGCGGTTCGGTCGGATACAATGCGTGCACAAAGGCAAAATCAGCGGAAAGTTCTTCTGAAGGTGTATCATATGGAAGATGCGGAGTGGGTATCTTATCTTTGTGTTGTATTTACAAATGTAACATGCTTTGATATGTTAAATTTTGTTTTATTTACAAATGTTTTAACTGTTGCAACTTTGTAAAAATCCAGATATGCCACCTGTGTGCAATTTTTACACTGGCGTATATCTCATACTTACAGAAATATATATTGATAATTATAAGTTTCTCTTCAAAGGAAAATTAAAACTATGCTTTTCGAAACCCCATTAAGCAATAGACTAATACAAATATTATCGAATCTAGGAAAATGTTGTATAAAATATGCGAGCTAGTGGCAGATTACGCCGGAAATTAACAAAAAGCAGTTCGACGAGCTGTTTTACACGAATATGTGAAATATTAAGAAATACATAATAGATTATTATATCACATCGTACACAAATCATTTGACAATTTAATTTCAAACCTAATGAAATTTTAAGTAATGAACTTTCAGTGTTTGCACCATGTGATCTGATAAAATCATTATTACATCCAATTTTATTCATTTAGCCTCGTTCCACCAAAAATCATATCAAATCACTATTGTACTTCGTTTAGCCTCGTTTTCATTCTCATAGTCCAAAATATCTATATCAAATCCTTTTTGTACAACATGTTAATCATGTCAAGAAATTGGTGCAGTGAAATAAAGAGGTCATTATGCAAGTATACAATGTTGAAAACAACACTATCGGACTCATACCGGCTGCAAAATATATAACATGTATTAGTCTCGGCTAGCGCCTCGTCCAATTTAGGTTTGACAACTGTTGTGTACTCGTCCAATAGAATACCGTATTGTACTCTCTCAACAATGTATAATAAACTTATAATGTACGATAGTATCATTAGTTAAGTCTTCTTAATACCATTACAAGTGTTTAAAATTTTCATATATTTATTTCAGATCATTGCCATATTTGCTCTTTGTGTCACGAATATAAGTCTCTCCATTTTGTCGGCAGTGTTCGCATTTCTCTCGGGAGCGGTCTGTGCGGGTGCAGATATTACCTTCTACAATAGAAACAATAATATTCGTACGAAACTTGACGTCAAGCAATTCTGCTCACCACACAACACGGCCAATACAGTGTTAGCGTTTATTGACGGCGGTTTGTGCGTTACGATTACCGTCTGGTGCATAATTGGAACACTGTTCTTCTGTTGCTATGGAAGATATTTTGGAATTAAAGGCAGACGAAGAGGATTTTAATGTAGAAATATCAAAGCAATTACATTTATTGAATCGTTAAAGATCTGTTGCTCAAGAATGGATTGTACAGTGTAATTATATATTAAAATTAGAAAAAATGATATCTTTAACAAAGATCTGAAACAGAATTATAGACAGTCCGTGTACAGCATCTTAACCCATTACTTCATGAGCATTTTGTGAAAAATGGCTGTTTTCATTGAAAAGTCTCCCGTTACAAGTTCAACTTGCTATAATACTATAAAAACTGCTTCAACACTAATCAAACTTGGCACAAATGTTGACTGGACCATTGCCCTTGCAACAACATGCTCAGGCTTAAATTTTCTGTTACCATGGCAACGAGCGGACATCTCAAAATTGCCAAAAATCACTATTTTGCGTTGATTTTTTCCATCAAAATTGATTTCAAAGTGCTGCAACTTCTCAATGGATTGAGATAGAGTCAAATGCTTTTCAGCGTTGGTTACACGTTACCTTATGATCAATCTGAGGTCATTTACAGCCTCTCACAAGTCCAAAATTTTCTTTGGTTGGGGGCCGCGCCGAAAAAGAGGTCACTTTTTTAACAACATTTCTCAAACAAAAACAAGTGTTTGGGGCCTAAATTAGGCATTTTTTCATCATTTGAGACAACATAAAGGCGGGGGGGTGAAAAAGGCGTTAAAAGGCGTGTATATGAAGTAATGGGTTAAATAAATATATAAACGCGAGAAAGAAAGACTTCCTGCAAAATCTATTACAGAGATATAAAAATGAAAAGTGTACTTATATGCACTTGCGATACACATGTACATAGATTACATACATGTATATAATTAATTAGGTATTAAGTTGAATATATTTGATGCTTAATTAGATATTTTTGTTTTTGGGTTTTACGTCACATCGACAGTATAGGTCATGACACAGTATGGGTCATATCGCGACGTTCCAGCTTTACTGGTGGAGGAGACCTCAGGTGCCCTTCCGTGCATATTCTAATTAGATATAATATTATATCTATGTATAATTAAATACATTCATTTGAACATTCATATTGCCCATCTGAGCAGATTTCAAATGGTATTAGACGCTTATGTCAGAATGTGTTTTTCTCTGAACTGTAGTTTGTGTAACACAAGGGTTTATCCGCCAATTAGGGAACTAAATGCAACAATGTACGGATGCGGGACATGTCAACAGTGAAAGGCACGCCCTTTGCTTGGCACCAACAGTCTTTTTGGGGGTTAATTTTGAAGCACAATAATAGTCATGATAATTTACCTCCATGCATTTTCCACAGAGTATTAGCCGAAGGTGCGAATTTTGAGCCGAAAGTATGTAATGTACGGCGATCACTGCATGAAAGCCTAAATATCCAGTTACCTGAGAAAAAAGGAGTTTGAGGGCTGTTGGTGCCAAGCAAAGAGCGTGTCTTTCGTACTGTCACTTTGTACTAGGGGCTCACACAATCTAGCACCCTTTCTCGTCGTCCCGGGCCATTCCTACCGGCTTTGATCAAGACATCGGCCGCGCAGGATTCAAGTTTCAGTTTTATTTTCCCCCGTTCCAAGTTCTTCAAATCTTCCGCCGATGCCCTGTGCCTTTTCTTCGACGTGCACGTATAGACGGGAAGAAAGAAGATTGTGTTTTTCTCTAGAACCCATATTGAGTAAACATGTGCGTATCATAATTTAAGAGCCTGAGCATTTCAAACCTATGCTATATATATCTATTGATACAAACACCAGTTCCAGTTACTCTTGTACTAGTATATAAATAATAATCAACTCTTACTTTTGTCTTCATTAAAATAACCACATTACCCAAGAAAAAAAATAATTTATTTCAATTATTTAACGATAGTAGCTTATTAAGATATTACATCTGCAAATCTTCGTTACTTTCAACAAGCTAGGCCTTTTAAAAATCATAAAAATAGATGGGCTACGAATAGCACAAAAATACGATTTTCAATTTATTTCTTAAATATCCTACATATATTATGTTTTGTGCCTCCGCTGAGTTCTTTCTAGTCAGTTTCTTTTTTCTTTTTTTAGCTCGACTATTCGATAAGAATAAGTAGAGCTATTGCAGTCACCCGAGCGTCGGCGTCGGCGTCGGCGTAACCACTTATGTTAAAGTTTTTGTAATAGTTCAAATATTTTCAAAGTCCATTGACATATGGCTTTGAAACTTTGCACACTTGTTCACCATCATGACCCCAACCTGTAGACAGGAGGAGGTAACTCTATCAAGCATTTGACAGAATTATGCCCCTTTTTCGACTTAGAATTTACGTTAAAGTTTTTGTAATAGTTCAAATATTTTCAAAGTCCATTGACATATGGCTTTGAAACTTTGCACACTTGTTCACCATCATGACCCAACCTGTAGACAGGAGGAGGTAACTCTATCAAGTATTTTGACAGAATTATGCCCCTTTTTCGACTTAGAATTTACGTTAAAGTTTTTGTAATAGTTCAAATATTTTCAAAGTCCATTGACATATGGCTTTGAAACTTTGCACACTTGTTTCACCATCATGACCCCAACCTGTAGACAGGAGGAGGTAACTCTATAAAGCATTTTGACAGAATTATGCCCCTTTTTCGACTTAGAATTTACGTTAAAGTTTTTGTAATAGTTCAAATATTTTCAAAGTCCATTGACATATGGCTTTGAAACTTTGCACACTTGTTCACCATCATGACCCCAACCTGTAAACAGGAGGAGGTAACTGTATCAGGCATTTTTTTTACTATCAAGCACTAAGAATAGTCGAGCATGCTGTCCTACCGACAGCTCTTGTTTATAGAAAAAATACCAAGGGCGCCTGGGGAAAAATATGTTTAAACTGACAAATCATCAAGAAATAAGGACATACATGTATATGCAACTAGATCTACGTCTTTTAATGCCAACTTCACACTAATTAAGGAGAGGAACGAAAAACAATTTTGCTCTTGCACACTTGTTATTTACTTTATAACCAGTATAGAACATATACATGGAAAGACTAAAATTATATTGTACTTGCGAGAAACGCAGGCAATTAATATAGAATGAATTCTGCATGCTTGTATTTATTTTTAACCATAGAACTAGTAAACTCGCAGATTTACAATAAAGGGAATATAGTACTTGCGAGAAACGCAGACAATATAGAAATAAATTGAAAATGAATTTTGCTTACGTGTATATATTTTATTAACATTACAGTATATATATATATAGTGAAATATAGACGATCTTGTATATAGTTGCCATATTCGTCTGCGTTTTAGACAGACCCATAAATGGCGAGTTTTCCGAATGTTAAAACAACAACAACAACAACTATAATTTGGTAATAATTTTGTAGATCTACACTAGTATTGTCACAACAGTTAATGCGAAATGATAATTCATTAACCGTCCATATCTTTTTAATTATGCAGGGTAAAAAATCGGAACAATGCTTTTCTCTGGAACTTTTAACAAGATTCGCCCAATAAAAAACGGAATTCGCCCAAGAAATACTCGTCCCATACAAATAATTTTAAATTATTAAAAGTAAGGAATAATGACATTAAATGTATGTTTTTGGTATATTTGTTAATGTTCTCCGTAATCTATCTATAAAAAAGAAGAACAGAAATTGAACTTTTTGGCTGATACTGTAAGAAATCATAACCAGATAACGATCCTCTCACAGCTTCTCATCAGTCAGCTCAATTGGATCTCCACAACACACCTTGTCACCTACCAGGAAAAAACAAGGCAACCACACCAGGTACCTGCAACCATCCTTCGCATCCTTGTAGTAAATTACCAGAGTCTGAGGGCTAAACAGGCATCCTTCTGGCTGACTTTGACTGAAACCAAGCCAGACATCATCATTGGCTGTGAGACATGGCTCTACCCTGGTATCCATGAAAAGGAAGTTCTCCCAGCTGGATACTACTTCGTAGCCAGGAAAGACAGAGAGGCAAATCGTTATGGTGGTGTCATCATCGCTGCGAAAGACAACATATGTGGCACTGAATTAGACACAGAATCAACATCAGAGATAGACTTGCAGCTTCCTTCAGTGGTCCAAACAACAGCCAGCTTGTCATCTGTTCTACATACCGCCCACCAAGCAGCGACCTCACATGGAAAACCTCTGCACAGGCATCAAGAAGCTACACACAGAGAACAAGAATGCCACCATCTGGATTGCAGGTGATATGAACCTACCAGATATTGATTTGACCTTAAACTCTGTGGTTGGGTCAAACTACCCTAAGAACATTAGCCAGTGCATGCTTGACACTATGTATGACATTTTATCTGAACAGATTGTGGATTTTACAACCAGAGGCAATAACACCCTGGACCTCTTCATTACAAATAGACCTTCACTTATCGAACGCAGTAATGCACTCCCAGGACTCAGTGATCATGACATGATCCTTGTGCAGGCCAGGACTATAGCAGCACGAACAAAAGCACCACAGAGAAAGATACTTCTGTGGAAAAGGGCTGACCAGACCATCATACGCTCTGCTGTACAAGATTTCACAAACAGCTTCATACAGGACCACTCTACCACCTCTGCTATTGACAACATGTGGACCAACTTCACATCTGCGATCTCACAGATCATAGAAACCACGGTCTTATCCAAGATGTCAACAACTAGGCACAACCAACCTTGGATCACAGCAAAGATCAAGCGCCTTTCTAGAAAAAAGAAGAGAGCATTCAAGAAAGCCCAGTGCCCAGGGACAGCAGACGACATCAAGCGGTACAAAGACCTTCAAAAGGAGCAACACTATGAATGTCGGAAGGCAAACCAAGCCTATGTAAGAGACATGGTTACAGAAAACCCTAAGAAGCTCTACACTTTCATCAAAGGGAAGCGGTCTGACAGCAGAGGAATCTCTCCACTAAAATGTGATGATGTAACTCACAGCGACCCAAGTAAGAAGGCTACAATACTGAACAAACAGTTCACTTGGGTGTTCACTACAGAAGACACAACAGATGTGCCAGCCATGGACGGAGAAAGATACCCAGACATGCCTCACTTCACAGTAGGAGCTGAGGGCGTTAAGAAACTTCTCCTCAGCCTCAACCCCCATAAGGCCTCTGGTCCTGACAATATACCTACACAATTCCTGAAGGACTATGCCGAAGACATTACTCCGGCTCTCACCCTCTTGTTCAACGCCTCTTTACAACAAGGAACAGTACCTTCAGCCTGGAAGAAGGCAAATGTATCACCTATTTTCAAAAAAGGTGACCGTAGCAACCGTGCCAACTACAGACCCATTTCTCTCACATCAGTATGCAGCAAACTCCTAGAAGACATCCTACATAGCCAAATTATGAAACACCTTGACCATCACAACATCCTTTCAGATCAACAACATGGTTTTAGAAAACAACGCTCAACTGAAAGTCAGCTTCTTCTCACTCTTCAAGACCTGTCATCAGCCCTGGATCAAGGGGAATAAGTAGACGCCGTACTACTAGACTTCAGTAAGGCGTTCAATGTTGTGCCTCACCAACGACTCCTCTCAAAGGTAGATCACTACGGCATCAGAGGGACAGTCAGAAGCTGGATTGAGAGCTTCCTGTCTGGCCACAGCCAACAAGTTGTCGTTGAAGACCATTCATCTGCATCCTCCCCAGTTACATCCGGTGTACCCCAGGGGACAGTACGAGGTCCTGTACTGTTCCTCTTTTACATCAATGACCTACCAAGGTGCGTGACTTCCATCAGCCGCCTATTTGCTGACAACAGCCTGATCTACAGGAAAATCAAATCAGAAGCTGGTGCATTAGCCCTCCAAGAAGACCTAGATAGACTCCAGGAATGGGAACGCAAGTGGATGATGTCTTTCAATCCCAGCAAATGCGAAGTCATACACATCACCAAGAAAAGAAGCCCCATCATTTATGCTTACAAGGTCCACCAATCAACTCTTCAATCTGTCAGAAGTGGAAAGTACCTTGGTGTCAACATCGCAAATAATCTTTCATGGAACATACATACAGAATCTACCGTCAAAAAGGCCAACAACGCTCTATCATTCCTTAGAAGAAACATCACAAGCTGCCCACAAGACATCAAGGCCCAGGCCTACAAGACCCTTGTTAGACCATTCCTGGAGTATGCAGGCACAGTCTGGGACCCTAACACAGCCACCAACATCAACCAGCTTGAAGCTGTCCAAAGGCAAGCTGCCCGATTTGTAAAAGGCGATTACAAAACTACCAGCAGCACCACTGCAATGATGGCAGACCTAGGCTGGCCAACTCTACAGCATCGCCGCTCCAATGCCAAGCTAGTGATGGTCTACAGGATCACACACAACCTCATAGCAATCCCAGCTGCACAGTACTTCCACCCCCTGACACTTGGTGGCCATGGCTACAGACACAGATTCCATGTCCAATTCTGCAGAACAGACACCATGAAGTTCTCCTTAAGTTTGTACCTTCGGCCGTCCGCCTGTGGAACCAGCTTCCAGAGCACTTGGCCACAGCAGTCAACCTTGAGGCCTTCAAGGGAGGACTAGTCATGGGGCCCTAATATGCTGGAGTCGATTTTATTTTTAACATGTTCTTCTTTTAAATCTGCACTTATTCGCCGCACAACACTTTGTACATACACCCTTTACGTCAATGCCCCAGAGTGGGTTATGTACAGTATTGGAAGAAGATTATAACCCCACTTCAATAATCGTCATGGCACCATTTTCTAAATAAATTTCCTTCAAGATTGTTTAGGTTAGATATATAAATAATCAACATCACTAATTTCATATCATCACTTAATTCACATAATGGCATATATCCTTGTGCTTAGTGTTAAAATATGTCAAAATTGATCAGTGTTCCCACTAGAATTTAAATTTGAGGGTACATGTACCCCCTAGGTCATATTTTTGGGGGTACACTTCACAGAATATTTAGGGGGTACAAACTATAAAGACAAGCAAGTCAGTTAAACACATATCAGTATTTTTATTGAAACATCTTTTCTACAGCTTTCTGAATAACTTCATTAGATTCAAAACCTTGCTGATTGGCAGAAAAGTTGATCATCATTCTATTTTGTACATTTTCAACAGTCCTCTTACTACAGTACCTTGAAATGTGTCTGTTTTGTGATGAGAATCCCCTTTCACAAGGGACAGAAGTTAGAGAGATTGTAATGATCTGTTCACTCTCTATTTTAGTCATAGAATGATAGATTAGTCAAACACATCAACAACAACTTGTGTCACACTTAACTCAAAAAGTATTTGACCTAGAGTCATACAACCTTACTGGAATGTTGCTCACCATGTGAAGTTGTCCACCTGGGGTTTTGCTTGTGGATTTATTCTGTTTCGTTAGAGTTATTGCCCTTGACTTGGTGAAAATTTGCACTTTTCAATTTGTGTCGCATGTAGCTCAAAAAGTATTTGACCTAGGGTCATGAAACTTTACAGGAATGTTGATCAGCATGTGTAGTAGTGCACCTAAGGTTTCCCTTGTGGTTTTATTTTGTTTTGTCAGTGTTATTACCCTTGACTAAGTAAAAATTGGACTACAATATGCAAACAAGTATTATATGATTCTAATTATTACATTGCTTTTAAATAATAAAAAAACACCTTGTTTTCAATACTGTATGATAATTAGAATATGGACCTTTCTGGTTTTTCATAGCGGAACATTTAGCCACACCTTTTCCATTCATTGCTAGGTCAACTGCTCACAAACAGTATCACAAACATAAGCACGTACTCTTGTGCAAACCAGGTCAACCAGTGACTATGTATTATCTCAGTGTAGCGATTGGATAACAAGTTAGCCAATTTACATAAAACTGTAAACACCGAAAAAGTCCATTATCATGGTTATTCCTTGAATTATAAGTAAAAGAAAGAGCATCAAAACACGAGGCTATCTGATTTGTAGGGCATAGCCCCCAAGTAATAATCAGATTGTCTAGTGTTTTGATGTTCTTTCTGTTTTATATCATAGTCAAACATAAAAACAGGTTCCTTTTTGTCACAATATGAAACTCCAGAAAAAAGTAACCAATGAACGAGCATCTTACTATTATATTTCAATCGCTTTCTCTTTCTCTGCCGTCACAATAAGTAAACCCTAGCAAAAATGAGCAAATCAATGGGCAGGCTCTGGAGTGCAGGTAACTAATAACTGCACTCCAGTTAACGCACTGTGCATGCATATGTATATGATTTAACTATGACACATTTTCAACAGTAAGGTCCCCAAACTATGATACAATTGAAGATTGTGACATTTGAAGAAACAGTTATGTAAATATATGTGAACAAAGTTCAGGCAAGATATGAAATGACAATTATTTTCAATAATAAATGAGTCCTTTGAATTTTCTTGTGTAGTTTTAACTTTTATTCTATCGATTGCTATCAGTGAAAAGATTGAAAAAATAATTGATAAAAAATATACATGGGTTTCATGTACTTATAAATTCTTTAAATAGTGCACTTGTAATTACACTAAATTTTATCTTTCTTCAATGCTTTCATGTAAAGTTGTCATTAAGAATGGACACCAGTCAGCCAAGTGACACACCTGTTACAGACTCATGTGTTGCTCCAGTAACATCTACTGATGTATTCATACACAACGAATCAGCTAATGCATATGTACCAGAAAAAGAGGTCACAACTGATGAAACAGAAGTGGAATCAGCTGAACAAGATAGGTAGTAATCAATGTTTGTCAATTTATCTACTAGATCACATGCTAATAGAGTTATTTTAGGGCTTAAAATTTCAACAAACATATGATAAGACAATCACATTTGCAAGTACTTCAAAAATAGTTTTATGTTTCATAACAGCCCTGAACATTACAAACTTTACATGTTTTATTTAGCTCATTAGAGCACAAGGTGCTTATCATATACTATTGCTATCACTCACTGTCATCTATCTACAAGCTGTCAGTATGTTGTCCACACTTTTCTTGAAATAATATCTCCTAAACCACAAGGTCAGTGTCATCAAAACCTCATGGCATTGTTACTTTGGTGACTGTCTTTCAGAGTGTTTTTTTTTTTTTGGAAAGTTCCATTCTGAGCGCAACTCTGGTTTTCACAAGGTAAAACTTTTCTTCTCAAAAACTGTTGGTCAGATTTTTTTTATCACAGAAATAATCATCAGATGACAGTCAACCAACATTAAACAAATTATTTTTATTTGAAACAGCTGCTGATGGGGGAAGAGAGAAGGGGGTCTTCCCTAATTTGGTTTGTATAATTTGTATCATTACCAAAGTATGGGTATAACTATAAAGCGCTGGCTAAATCTTATAATTTTCAAAGCTGATCTTGAATTACAAAATAAATTTCTGTTCACAGTCTAGGGTAATTCACTGCACTGCAGTTTAAGAGATTCCCTATTCTCCTCTCATGTTTGATTCTCCAATTTGATTTTTATTGATTTCAGAAATGAAAAGAGGGCTTCTGAGATCCAGGTATTTAGGTCTGTAGAAGAGGCATATATGTATATAAAAAACTACGAAATTGCGACAAACAGCAAGTTTATCAAGAATAGAGCTATTAGAATG